TAATATCTCGTATAAAATTATTATTCCTTATCCGAGTGGCAGGCAATGGCGTGCGGTGCCAGGTATTTCCAGACGGCTGCGTCGAATTTCTGGCTCCACGCGTGTTTCAATTAAGTGCTTGTCTTTTCACGTAGCTGGAATCTCTTGAATTCCTTTCTCAAAATATTTTATTACAACGACGATGATAATAATCGTTGACGCATTCGTGACAAAAATATCACTCTTTACTACGTATCCTTCATTTATATATTTAATTGCAAATATAGAAAATATTCAAATTCAACAGGAGTTGCAAAAAATATTTTCAATCGATACAAAATAATTAAATTACACTGTACTGAATTTCTTTTCTTTCGTCGTTACTTTGCACTTTGTTCTCCTAAATTTGTTCTTAATTACAGAAAATTAAAGAGATACAGTTTCATCGTTAATTTTAATATTTTAAACTCTTTCGCTCGCACTAATCATTTATATGGAAGTATAAAGAGTGTAATACTTCAAGTTTTTTTTAATTATTGAGACAGTCGTTCCATGAAAGTCTTTCCCGCGAATAAATATTAACTTCCATTTCAATCATGAAGCCCCTTTGCTTTGAATCGGTCTTGAATATCGACGAATCGCTGGAAAAAGGATGAAACGATTATTCTGCAAAGTAGAAATACGTATTTGGGAATATCAGATTCTCGTGTATTCGTATGTTTTTCTTCATTCACTTCGTGGTATCTTTTTTTTTTTCTGAATGGAAATTGTTTCTTCTCTCGACGGAGTTTCTGCTTCGACAAAAACTTTTCGACATTCTGGATTTATTGCACTTTTTTTTTATTCGCTTTAAGAAATATATTTCCATTAATACGTGTTACTTTTATTCTAGACTTTTGTTCGTAATTTCAAACGAGGAGATATCTTATTATAGAATTTCATATTAAATTACTTTTTAGGAATTGCGATTCCATCCAAGTATTCCTAATAAAATAGCATATATTGTGCAAATGGATGTTGAAACGAATACATGCTGTTTCATTTTGAATTTAAAATATCTTTTCTCGAACAGATGTCTAATATCTTTTCCCTTTCAATTAAAAAATATCTTATTTTCTTATATGCTAACAGTTTTATACTGCAATAATTTTTTATCTAATTTAAAACTAATTTGCTACCTAATAAAATATTATCCAATCAAAAGCCTTCATTTATAAGTAATAAATCCAATGGTATCATTATCTGTGTTACAAAATTGTGTAAATTAGCATAGAAGAGAGATCGTTATATTATGCATTAATTTCGATTACCAGAAAACAAATTTCTTGTTTCGAGGACAAAGAAATTTCTACTACAAATTTACTTGAAAAATATTCGCGAGTCAGTTTGGACGGTTTTTATTAGCAAACCATAAACAGAAACGTTATTCTCTTATCTAACGTTCGACTCCTCTTCTCGATTCTTCTTCTCACGTCGATCGTTCGAAAGAAAATCGCCGTTTTCGGTGGTCCAATGCTCGAGCATTGATTTAACGCGATTTTATCGCGTATTGGACGATATCCATGTAACGATTGGCCATGTGCCTCGAGCCGGTGGAGATTCTTCGCAGCGATCGCTGAAAGATTCAACGTGAACTGGCCCGTCGCTAATTGCTAGCGTAATTACATGCCCGGTTTATCGACTTTGCCCACTCGCATCTACCGCGTTTTGAATCGCATCGCGAGCCAATGGACACGCTGGCATATAACGCGGCGTCGCTTCTTCAGACGCCTTCGTTCCGCGTTTCTTCCACCCCTTTTCTTTCGTCGTGCTTTCTCCGAGCCTCTTCTTTTTTTTCGCCCCTTTTTGTCAAGCCCGGCTCCTTTGAACTTTTACATCCAGCTCTCGGAGTCCGGCAATAATTAGTGCCGGGTAAAGAGTTCGTCGAGATTTCCGTCAAGACGAGAGAGAGAGAGAGAAAGAGAGAGAGAGACGAATACAAGTCTCGGCGAAAGAAATGTGGATCGGGAGAGAAAAAGATTGGTGGACTGGGACAAACTGGAGCGAAATTTTTGGAAGTTTTCGATTTTGTTAACCACCTTTTGACACTTTTCTCTTTTTTTTTTTAAGACGATTTAATGAAGCTCGATGGATACGCGATTGTTTGTCACTCAGACAATTTAACAACGAGTTTATTAACACGCTGATTGCTATTTTTACCACTTTCTCTCTTGTTATATACTGCTATAATATAGTGTAGTAGTGAGCATATAAATAAGGTAGTATGTATTTCGAGTAACTATTTCGATTTATTATTTGTTGAAAAAGAAAATGTTAGTAGCATTCGTATTAATTAATAGAACTGAATAATGACTCGACTCTAGCTACGCGTCTCTAAGTAGAGCAAGCGTTCAACTGTACGATATCAGACATATTTCACTACTTATAAAAACATTCGTACATTATTCACGACAATGTAGAATTTAAAAATATATTTCTTCTCGTTTGAAGAGCTACAAGTCGATCTATGTGTTAATTGTTT